AAAACAAAAAAAAAAAAAAACTGCTAACCAAAGATTGACCTAGTACCACTAAACCAAACAAGGATCTCTAGTTGACACCGAATCTTACATTTCCATCCTAAATGCAAACCACTTCTTGTAGTGGTTGAAAAGGAGGCAATCTTGTGTTTTGTTACCGATGTACTCCAAGCCAAGGCTCTTTAGCTTGCTGTTGCACAAGTTGCCTCCCAAACGAGTACAGAACTTCATGTTCTCAGAGACAAATAATAAACCCTCAGGTCTCAAACAGCCGGCAATTCTCCGTAAAAGGGTCCACACCGGCGTGCGAGGCATGTGCAGAGATGCAGCAGTCCCATATATCATATCATATTTCAAACTGGATCGAAGCACACCGAAATCCATATCCTCACCCTTCACGATCAGCGGACGCTTATGTAACAAACCCTGAGATGGGAGCTCATACCTTAAGGCAGCCATTATAGAAAGGTCGTCCAGCTCCAAGCAGTGGTACCGCTCGGGATCCAGAAACCGGATGAAATGAAGGCCCACTCGGAGGGTCCCACAACCTAGCTCCAACACTGTAGAGTTAGGGTTCAGGTTAGCCGACCCGACCAAAAACTCGAATATGTCACGGCCCACGGCCCATGGCTCTCCATAATTGCTGTGGTGCTCCTCGACGAGTAGGTTGCCGGGACATGGGAGAAGAGTGTGGTTATTCGCTTCTCGGCCTTCATAGTGGGATAAGCCCTTGAATAGCTGTAGGTCTTGCAGCTGCTGCTCGCGAGTCCGAGGGTTTATGCCCTTACGCACGATGTTTCTGTGCATCTGCAGCTTGTTGGCTAGGATTTGGGATTTGACCCACTCTATATCAACATGTGATGGAGATATATGGGCCGTGGTTTTAGGGTTCTTGCTGGTGGCTGTGTTGGGGGAGACTGGGGGGCAGCTGCAAGGGGATGATGTCAGACATGTTGAGAGAAGGAAAACAAGGATTGCCGCCGAGACAGTGAGGACAAGAGCCGAAACGAAAATTGCCACTCCCTTTGAAAGAAGGGATGCCATTCACCTGAGTATACAGTTGGCAACCAACAATTGTAAATCAAACTGCTAAAAAGGTCGTACATAGCATTCACAGATAAATCACACATGACATTCACAATACAAATTTGCACTTTTTTCCAAAAAAGAAAAAAAAAAAAAATATTTGCAATGGGTCGGCCCGCATACATAAATGAATAGGCAAACACATCTTGTTAAAAAGGAATCAGAAAAGAATTAAAGGGGCAATTCGAACAAACCCGTAAAACCCTAATTCGAAGTCTAATTCGAACCCAGCTGCAATCTGAAGTCCCAAGAAAAGAAACCCTAATTTGAACCAAAAATTATAAACGATAATTCGAACAACAAAAAAAACCCTAATTCGAACACAAATTTAAGAGAAATCGATCCCTACTTACCTGATTGCGATTGCAAATGAGTGAGAAAATGATGGGTTTATTTGCTGTTGAAACCAATTTTTCTTTGTGGGGAAAGTGAATTGCAAGCGATTTGGGGCGGAGGCGAGGCAATTTGTAGCGAGGCGCGGCCGCGTGGAGCAAAAGATTTGGATTGGAGCGATTTCGGGCGGATGAGCGATTTGGTGACAAGAAAGCGTTGAATAAGTTTGCACTTCCTGCCTTTGTGTTCTATTTTTGCGACGGTTATGTTTCTGAAGTCTGAACTAATAAATGAACGAAAAACATCAAAGTAACCCGACTTGCCAGGAAACGATGTCGTTTAACACTAGCAAAACCGACATATCTTTGCTAATACGCCAGCGTTTTATTAATATGCGACGTGGCCTCTTAAATTTGAGCAGCCATGTGTCACATAAAGGAAAGCATTGCTTCCTTTTTATTAAAATAAAAAAAGTAATATATAAATGCATGATACACTCGATGAAGATCGTGTATTACGGGACTCGATTTTGTGTAGGAATCTTCGCTAAAAGCCTCGGTTCAAACACGATAGAAGTGAAAACTAGCACTAACGACCATCGGTTTAACACGATGTTCAAAAGCGAGCCTTTTGTTATTTTTTATTTCATCATCCCAAATGAAACGTATATAATTAATTTTACAGAAAAAAAAAAAAACCAACATGCTACCATATCATATGCAAATTCAAAAGCAAAGTCAAAGGATCTTTAAAAGAAACTACCATAACATATGCCACAACCTATCTAACCAGGGGCGGAGCCACCCCAAAGGCTGGGGTGGGCTCCAGCCCAGTCTGGTTCCAATTTTTAAAAAAAAAAATAAAAAAATTAGCCCATTTTTTACTTGCTAGCCCAGGTCAAATATATTTAAGCCCATCTAGCCCAGTATAATTTTTTTTTTTCTGGCTACGCCCCTGTATCTAACTGTTGTAAACTACCATGTCACGTAAATGCTGCAGGTGTCCAAGTTCATGGAGGTGCCGCGACTTGAGGATGAGTGAACGGCCCTCTCTGTTGGTTCGTTTTCCTCGTGCAACTTTGCTCGGTTTCTCGATTCTCATCATTCCCGATCCCTTCATGAATATCTTTGTCCTCAAGGATAAAAAATTGTAAATTGTTCGAATATCGACGGGATCACGCAATTCTCCTTTCGATCATGCGTGAACATGCATTCTTTCGGCCCCCGCTACTTTTTGAGTGACCCTACTCACGACCCTCGTCATTAGCCAACCCTTCTGCTGGATTTCGGAATTTGTTTCTCCTCGACCGGTGTTTCGCCATATTCCGGCCGCAGAACCAGGTAAAGGCGTTGTACTTCGTTCACCCCATGAGCCTCCTCTTTCTTTACTTTTGGCATGTAAAAGAAGAAGATTTCCGAGGACCCATATGCCAAATCAATTTTTTCCAAAAGGAAAATTCTTCCTGTTTCGGCCAAAACCGCACTTTTTTAACCTCAAGATATAATAAAACTATCAAAAAACTTCTGCTGGTTGTTAATAAAAACTGTCAATAACATTACTTGTAAATGGAAATGGATATGGTAATCGCACAAAGAGCCTAAGTAGCAAAACCATTATGCCAAGCGCCTATACTTATCGTCAAGGCCCGTGACTTCCTCGGACAAAGGTGCTATCGGGCCTCTTTGCAGGATGAATGCCAAAACTGTAAACTTCATCATGTATCTTGAATAAATAATTTGGTGTATACGAAATACTTACTTGATGCGAAAGATGACATAACTAGTGATCTTGATATTGATGACTACACGAGGCTTGATCGATTGTTAGATCTAAATTAGTTTCTCCCACCTGTTCGTTCCTTAATGTAGCAGAAAACTGATGGGAAAAACTGTGTACCCTAATAGGAGGAGAGAGGACAAATTTATATAGGGGTATCTTTAGATCTGGTACGTCCATCAAATATCCAGATTAATGGCTTAGATTTATTTGACGATTAAATAGAAGTCTAGCCCAATAGGATAATTAATTGTGAGCTTACTGCTTTCGGGTCACATATTCTTACATTCTCTCACTTGGTCCGAAATCCCATATAGTGAGAGTAGCAAACATTAGGTGCGTATAAACAAATATCATTAAGCATACATCATAATAAATTATGACATGATAAACCATATAGTGAGAGCTATGACGGTTGTACACTCTCGATTCGCATACTTCCTTCTATATACTACTACACTAATAGTTCAACACATGAAGGTCTATAATTATATATAAATATCATAATCTCCATTTAATTGTCATGCAGACATTCATTTCTTGTTCTAATCATATTGTATACAAAATCATAATGAACAAGAAATTCAATAATAGTCAGAAACATAACATCAATGAGCTCAAGAGTGTGTCATAACATCATCATAAGCAATCATCAATACAACCAAGACCCATTCTATGTACATGTTATTTAAATGTCTTTAGTTGTAGACTTTTAGTTAACAGATCGACAATCATAATGTTCGTTCTTATATGTTCAATGCACACTCATTGTTTCGAAACTTCTTCCTTAACGGAAAAATACTTTAATTCCATGTGTTTTGCACCCTTGGAATATTTTTCATTTTTTTGGAGAAGAAAACTACTGCGGAATTATCACAATCCATTTTCAGCGGCTCGGTAAAGGTGTCAACTACCCCAAGACCCGAAATAAAGTTCTGCAGCCGTAATGCCTGAATTGTAGCCTCATAACAAGCTACAAATTTACCTCCATAGTAGATGCAACTATGACAGACTGCTTGGCACTTTTCCATTAAATTTCTCCTTCAGCGTGGAGAAACACATAGCCAAATGTTGACTTGCGACTGTTAAGGCACCAAGCAAAATCTGAATATGAATATCCAATCACCTCAAGGAGATTAGATTTCCTAAATGTGAGCATATGATCCATCGTCCCTTAAAAGTATCTCATCACTTTCTTTGCAGCTTTCCAGTGATCCAATCCAAGATTACTTTGATATTGGCCTAGCATTCCAACAACGAAGCTAATATCAGGCCTCGTGCAAGTTTGCAAGTACATCAAACTGCCCAAAACAGAAGCATATGGAATGGATTCCATACTCTTTCGTTCCACATCATTCTTAGGGCATTGCATAAGGCTAAACTTATCCTCTTTCTGTAATGTGACAACTCATAGTGAACAATTGTTCATGCTAATTCTCTCAAGAATTTTGTCGATGTAAGCTTTCTGAGACAACCCCAACAATCCTTGTGATCTATCCCAGAATATTGAAATTCCAATCACATAGGATGCCTCTCACATATCTTTCATTCCAAAATTCTTTGATAGAAAATCTTTAGTCACATGCAAAATTCCCAAATCATTAGCAGCAAGTAGGATATCATCGACATATAGAACTAAAAATATAAACTTACTCCCACTGATCTTCTGGTAAATACACAGATCAATAGTGTTTTCTTAAAAAAAAAAAAAGACGTGATGGTATTATTAAACTTAATATACCATTGTCTGGAAGCTTGTTTAAGTCCATATATTGACTTCTAAAGTTTACACACCATGTGACCCTTTCCTTCTATGGAAAAACCTTTGGGTTGATCCATATAAACTTCCTCATCTAAGTCCCTATTAAGAAAGGCCGTTTTCACATGAATTTGATGTAACTCTAAATCATACTGAGTTACTAAAGCCATAATGATCCTCAAGGAATCTTCTTAGAAACATGTGAAAAAAGTCTCCTTATAATCAATCCCTTCTTTTTGAGTATAACCCTTGGCAACAAGTCTAGCTTTATGTCGTTCGATATTGCCATTCGAGTCGTGTTTGATCTTAAAGACCCACTTACATCCAACTCTGTAATGCCCTACTTTTATTTTGACGAAAATCAGAATAAATTTTTCAAATTTATTTCTATCATTTGTGGCGTTACTTATTTTGAAATCAATACTTAACAATAATCTCAATATTCAATAATCAATCATCATTCCTCAGTCATCAATAATCAATCATTACTAATCAATCCTCAATAATAAGTAAGGAACGACTCCTTAACAATATTTCAACATTCAATATTAGAAATACAATAATAACAGTAATCAGTTTAACAGGCAGAAGCAATATCAAATAATCAGATTACCACTCGCGTCCCTCCGCTGTGCCCGCATAAACTAACCTGCATCCATGAAGAGCATGTGGGGGTGAGCACAATAGAAAAATCGAGGTGCTCACCGCTATGCAATAATTAATATTCAATAATCAATAAACAATTTAGGTATGGTCGCAGCATGTATACAAATCAATAATCGTCCCATCTCCTGTCAAAAATCAATAATCGTCTCATGTGCACACCTATAGCAATAGACTACTGCCGAGCTATATACCGAACGCTTTTTCTAAGACAACCCCAACAATCCTTGTGATCTATCCCGAAATATTGAAATTCCAATCACATAGGATGCCTCTCCCATATCTTTCATTCCAAAATTCTTTGATAGAAAATCTTCAGTCTCATGCAAAATTCCCAAATCATTAGCAGCAAGTAGGATATCATAGACATATAGAACCAAAAATATAAACTTAATCCCACTGATCTTCTGGTAAATACACCGACCAA